CTCTTGAGAAGCTGGTGCTGAATCCTCACTCTGTCAGATTTATTCTTGTGCCCGGCCTCACGGGACTATATGGGCAATCTTCTAGATGTGGTCACCTTCTCAACAGCAGACAGGAGAGACTCTTGGGCCAGAGAGTCAGCAGGGAAGGAGAGTGGGCAGGCCTCTCTCTTGTCCTGGGTTCGGCCATCACCCACTGCGCCTCCTGTTCTGATGGGTTGTTTGTTTTCACGCTAGCCTCTCCATTAAGAGCCATCTGGAAATGCTGTTGGGACAGGACTTATAAGCAGGACAGAGGGGCAGTGGAGGGTTACTATCAGTTGCTTAGATAGCGCCCTTCTCCCCTTTTTCCTATCAGAACCCCCATTTTGTCGCGGGACGCTCCATCCCCCAAGCAGCCATGTGCTTCAGGCGTGGCTGACCCAGCCCCAGCCCTCCAGTGATGCTGAATGGTCCAAGAGTCATCCTATCCCCCTACCAATAAGTGATTCAGGACCGGAAATATGGCCCAATTCTGTCCAAGGAGACATGAACTGAGGCCCAGAGCAAGAGGTCCCTCCTCAGAAGAGCTTCCTGTCTCTGACAGAGGCAGCCCTTCTTCCTCCACTGGGCATCACTGTGTTGGGACGTGATGCCTGGGCCGATAGCAGCCGGCCTAGCTCCAGCCTGAGGATGGAATTGACACCAAGGGGAACGGAAGGAAACCCGATTCCAAACACATCAGTCCCGAGTCTCGACTCTCGACTTGCTGTGACTTGAGGTGACACATTTCCTTTCTCTGCGTAAGGCAATTTAATACAGGATTCTCCCTGCTGGAAGCTGGATGTACTTTAACCAGTACCGAGGCCACAGGGACACCCTTCCTCCCAGGACACAGCTGCCCCAGGCCCCCCAGAGAGGCTGGGCCGCACCCCTCCAGAGGCCCTTCTTCTCAGGAGGCGGCATGCTGGTCCCCGAGAGACCCCAGTCCCCACAGACCGGCAGACGCAGCTCACCACGCCATTTCTCACACCCTCCCACCAGGCCCCACGCTCCCTCCTGCCACATGCTTGCTGTTGTTCCCACTCGTCTGGGATGCGGTTTTCTTGGCTGATGTCCTCTTATTAGCAAATGATCCGGATGCCGGGAGACTGGCGCGTGGCTGTTTGCCGTGTTCCTTGACGTCTCCGGGGCCTTCAAGATTCTTCCAGGGCTTCTAGTAATGACACCCCAGAGGGGGATGCTGGGGGCAGGGGCCGGTGGAAGGGTCAGCCTCAAGGCTCCTGTCTCCTCTCCATCTGCATACTTCCTTCAGAGAGGCGACACGGTGACAGTCCCCAGTGCGCTCGGGGCTTCACGGTCCTCTCCGCGGCTCAGCCTGGGCCGATCTGAGCTGAAGACCTCCCAAGCCCCGAACACCATCCCTCCAGATTCCCGTCTCCTCAGGGCGCTCCATACAGAACCAGACCGCCCCTCTCTCGCAGGCTCCTGGCAGCCCGCCCTGGTCTCTCACCTGGATCTTCCAGCGGCTGCTCTGAGCCCCGGCCGCCCATCCTGAACTCCTCCTGCTCATCTGCCCCCAGATGCCAATCTCCTCCACTCAGCCCATTTCACCTCCGGCGCGACAGCCTGTAATGTCTGCCTCGTCAACTGTCCCATCGCGCCGCAGATCTCCATCCCCAAGCAGCTCGCTGCTTTTCCGCTTGATTCCTCCCTCTGCTATTATTTACTAATTTAGCTCTGGCAAGCATTTGGGACTGCGGTTGGGGGACAAGCGGCTCTGGTACCAAAACAGCACTCTGTCCAATGCTCCACTCTGAGGCCCCAGTCCCCTCTGTCTTCGCTCCTTCTCTCTTCCACCCCATTCACCACCCTTCCCTC